GCTAGGCATTTCTTTGCCTACGACCTTCATATTTTTTACGAAGTTAACTGAGAAGGAAAAAAGTGTATAGGCGAATTCATTTACATAAATGTGGGCTTTTGAAAGATGCTGGATCAAAAAAAAGTCCCTCTTTATGGTAGGCAGCCCACTTCTTAGACTGAGCACTTACAGGAAGGACAACATCCACAATTTAAACTTCTCAACATGCAATAGAAATACTGTCGCTAACCTGAAGAAACGTAGCCAGTATTATCATACATTGCAATTTGTTATGCAGATCCAGTTCTTAACCCTAATGCTAGGGTTTCTGAGAAAAACACATTCATCTATATGAGAAATGCCATTTCCACAGCAACTCCCCCTGCCTCACTGAACAGCACCACCCCAAGTCCTGTACATCACACTGAACAACCAGTTAAAACTTTAGCTAACTGCAGAGCCTAGCCTAAGCCACAAAATTTTTAGACAACTATTCCTGTCAGGCACAGAGCTCTGGGGAAGGGAGAAGAGGAGAACAGCAGCATGCCCTATGTACAACAATGGTTCTGTGTTGTTTCATGACAGATGATGAAAAGTCTTCAGGCTACCAATCTTGGGATGAGCTCAGCTTCACACTGGTGTTGCAAACACTAACTCTCAGAGACTGGGCAGGATACTCAACTCTAAGAAGGCTGCTACTCAGATCACCTCCACAGTACCTAGTTTAATTTTTTTTTTATGAAATGAAATGGAAGTAGTTATATCAACAAAGAGGACATGATGCTTTCAGCCTGCATTTATAGAATGCTTATTACAAAAGCAAAGTTATATTAATACAGACTGTTTAATCTGTGTCTAGAAAAGCATTTGGTGGAGCAGGGAGAAGTTACATCTTCAGCCCCAGGCACAAAAACCTGTTAACAATGAAGATCCTCCTACAGCAAAAAAATAGCTTAAGAAGGACTTCATTTTCAGAGAGCCAAACCAAGCTGCTGCAGTCTTCCCAAGAGGAAGAAGAGAAATTAGTTTGATTCAAGATCAGAAGCAAAGACATGATCTGAAAAAGTACCCATATTTAATATCTAAGTTGGAGAAAAGGCCTGTCCCAGAGAGGCTGAAGAACACTTTGTAGTGGATTGAGAATGAAATAATGAACTGTACATAGATTTTTAGATATCTATAATGGCTGCATTATTAGACACCGCCAAGTGTTTATTTTGAAGCCTGACTTCAACACCAATAATGTATAATCCAAAAGGCTCCTTGAAGGTTGCAAGACTGATTCTGTAGTTTCTTTAAAGACAGATCAAACATAAGTAAGTTTAGCCACCAGACTGTACTTCTGTGAATAGCTGTAACCAGACAGCAGCAAGCACAGCTGAAGGGACTGAAACTGAAGAGCAGTCTCATAGCATTGCTGGTCTCACTGTATTAAGCCCAAAAACCTTGAATCCCCTGAGCCCACGTGGCAGGCACTGGGCAGCTGTGTGACCAGAGAAAGCCTGGAACAAACATTCAGGGATCTCTCCAAGTCTGAGATGTTGATGTTTCCATGCCACTGTCATCTGGCTACTAATTTAAGTCTTATTTCAATTGACATATGAGCTGAAAGAAAGCAGCTTCACTTCAGGCATTTAACCAACTCTCTTCAGCAGGATTGAATAAATACTCAACCAAACTTGTTAACAGTCATTAAAGGAGCTGGCTGAACACAGAGCAATTGTTTCTCCCAAGAAAGGAGACCACTCTGGTTGCAGTGGGAGGGTCATATGCTGGGTCCTGTTCTTCAGCTGATGTCCACTTAGCAGCATGGCAAAACACTCCAGCCTCTTGGTAGCCTTCCCCCCACTTCACGTGTTCCTGGCTCCCCTTTTGCCTAAGCCTCTTACACACCAAAGCTTTCAGCTTCAATATCCTCTCCTCATCCTCAACCTGAGTTCAGCCTGCTGAAGTTCTTCCACTTGACAGATCTGGGAAATGTTTCATCTTCCTTCCACATTTTCTGGTATGCCCTGAATGTTGTCTCTCTTTTCATCTAAGAACTCCTATTATTACTCAATACCTGGATAGTTTAGTATATGCAGAGAGTTTCCAAGAAAAGATGATTGCCAGGTTTTAAACAGCTCAGTACTCACATTGCTCTGAAGAGGAGTATGTTACTGTCAACAAGATATAAACTTAACTTGTACAGCGAGATAAGCTGGAAGTGATTTTTTTTAAAGAAATAATTTTATATCTTAAGACATTGGTCTGATTTCAGGCACAACAGCCAGCATAGCACATGAACACAAAAACCCATGGTACCAGTTCTGAAGATTTCCTCTCCCAACCTTAACCCTTTCTCTGCTATTCCTATTTCTCTCATTTTTAGTGAATTCTGGAAAGCCTGTTTAGCTGTGTCCAACCAGCCTCCCCTGCCAAGTAGGAATTTCCCTGCAGAGCACCAGCTTGTAAAACCAGCTGGTCCCACACAGGAACCATCTCTGTCCAAGCACTGCTCCCACATGAGCAGGAAGTTATTAGAGTTCAGCACTTTATGAAGAGTCCTGACTGCCACCACTTTCTGGGAGTTTCTGTTTAGCATGACAAGCTTAGTTTCAAACTCTCTATAGACTCAAGACCAGGGTCTCCAGTTCACAAGCCAGACTAATTTTTCTCACCAGTATCTATCTCCTACATCATTGGGTGGTGGTTCATGGTAGTAAATTAGAAAGATCAATTTCATATCATGCGAAGCTGACCAGAGGTTTTTACTTCACCACTGAGTTGTGGCTGTACAACAACTAAGAGGCACTATTCAGAGTTTCAAGGACATAGAAAGGCATTTATCATTTGTTTTTACTCCCATCCTTCATTTATACATGAGTAAAACAGCCAAATTTAGCTCTGCTTCATGAAGCAAACAGTTGACAGGGTAGGGGGCTTATGGAGACAATTATGGTACTGCACAGTTCTATCACCATTTTCAAATTTTATGTGTTCTCTTGTTACTTGTAGGCTCAACTACAATTGCTAAAGCTTCTAGGTATTATTTACTCCTGTATTTAAAGTAGTTTCCACAGAATTCTCCAAGATCTAGTATCAAGTCTTATGGTATCAGAAAGATTAAAGAGAATTGTTTTTAATTTACTGGTATCCCTTTATTAAAGTGGTTTGGTTGATCTTAAGTTCTTTATGCAATGTGGGTATTTTAACATAATGAAGGAACAAGCATGGGACAGTCAACTCATCAAGACTAATGCTGCAGAACCAGTTTCCCCAAAAGAGGGAGCATAGCAGTATTTCACAACATGGTGGGGAGGCTATACCCTCTTCTCTGGACTCATTCCAGGAAAGAGAACAGGAGTTTGACAATCACAGCACTTGCCTAAACTCAAGCTCCCTGAAAAAAGCTTTAAGATTTTTTTTTTTTTTTTGTGCAAGAAAGGCCTCATGGAACCACAGTTCCCATATTTATTGTACATTAACAATGCTCACTATGCAACCACAGGCTCGTTAGGAGCCAAAGGCAAGCATTGCAAGCTCCCATTAATAAGGTACAGGGCATTAATTCTTTGGCAACTGGCTGTGTAAGAGCAGATTTATGAAGTAAATAGTCCACAAGGTGCTGGACTAACAATGGTTGGTGTCTTATCAGGTACCTCACCAACACCTTTACCCTAAGTCCCACCTCAACCTTAGGATTTTATCATCTTTTCTTCCTTAAAAAATCTTAAAGGGTAACTCAGTACTCATTTTCACTTGTTGCAGGCATCTTTGAGTCATCTGACAGCAAGTCTCTCACACCACTACATTCCTGCAGCACAAACAAATCTGGTTCTCCTTTTCTCAAGAAAATTTTGATCTTTTAAGCCAGTGACACATGCCCTGTCTCTTGCACCTACTAGGCTGGGAGAGTAGAAATAGCCTTATGGATATGCTCCATGGCCACCTGGGAACTGTGCTTGGAGAAGACAGAATGTCAAGACCTTTCAGGATGCTTCCTTCTTCAGAAGGGTTAAGACATGAGTATCTGTAACACTTGGACTTAAAGAACTGCCAAGCAAAAAAAAAAATCCTGTGTAAAAAATAAAGAAAACTAAAGGTATAGAATTGAGTCTTCAAGCCAATAGTTAATATTTCAGAGTTTTGATAAGGCATGTGAGTTGCTGCAGAGTAGAAGAGGAATGACTCTTTGCTTTCATATTCTACAACTTTTAGGTTTATGTTACTCTACAAAAGAGGTATTTGTATTTCCAACTAAAAAATGCTACAAAGCCTAATTCCCATCACTCCACACTCTATGGTTCAGTCAGGGTTTGCAGCATAAATGAAAATTAGGCTGTGAAGCCATACTATTTTTCTGTTACTGACATTTTTATTCCTAGGAAGCTACGAGAGGTGGCAGGCTCTATCAGCCACACAACATCCAACTAAAGCTAATGCATGCTGAGTTTAGAGATGCCCAACTAGTAACAAAAGATGGGGAAACAAAGTCCCAAAAGGACTTGAAGAGCCCTCACCTAAAATAATGCAAGTAATATTGAATTACTTACATTATTTTAAGTTTTTATGTATCCCTCCCCTTTCAAGAGGAAAGACTAGGGCAGTAAGTGTTGGCAGCTCTCTAAAGTTACAGTCATTTCACTATAAAAATTAATTGGAACTCCAGTATTCTCCATTCATAACAAGAACATTTATAAAAACTTGCACTTGCACAAACTCATTGACAGCCAAAACCTGATACTTAGACATTTTAAACAGAGAATGCCACCAAATGACAAAATACTTGGAGAGATCAGGAACACTGTTCTAGCCATTTACTACACTTGTGGCTGGAGATCTGGAGAGTAACAGATGACTAGTCTTTTGTTTATTTATTAATCACACTGTACAACATTAGCAATCAACCACTTCCTATCTGCAAGCTAATTTAGAAACCTTACCTGAAAAACTAGATAACAAATATAACCCTTAAAGTGTAATGTAGCCAAGTTGTTAACATTTAAGATGAAAAACATATATTGATTTTTTGTATCCAGGACAGCATCACTGAAACAGACCTAAGCTCACAGGAACATGAGATACCAGTTTTTAGTGGCCTTTTCTCCACCATTCCAGCCCTAGCTTGAAGGCTTCCCAGAAAGGGTAAGGACATTCACAATTCTCTTTACAGCACAGACATTTATTTATATACATCTATATAGCTATACATCTATATATTTTACCCCCAGAAAGCTCCAAAAGCAGAACTAGCCAATCACAAGAGTATCAGAAGTGCCAGATGCTGTAAGGATGCAGGAATGAAGCCCTGTACTATGCTCAGGTCAACATCTCCTCAGTCATCTGCAAGACTACTTACATCAACCAGTTAATAAGAGAATTACCAGCTATTCAAAACCCTGTATTTAAGAAAACACTTTTTGTTAAACTGATCTCACTTCTGATCCCACTGGCTTTACTGCAGGTTTCTGGGAAGGTAAGACTTAAATTTCCATAGTGAAAAAAAAAAATGGGACAACTGAGTATGAACTATGCACAAGAATTCTCCAAGAGCAGGTCGTGACCTGGTATATTAAACTGCCTGATTCAGTTCAGCTTGAGGGTTTGTAGGCTGAGTTGTGAGCTGCGTTGGCTGAGCCTCCACAGAGTCCATCACTATTTCTGTAATGCAGATGACGAACCTCTGCAGAGGAAGTAGGCAATTAGCTGGGAAAGCAACCTCTTCAACCGAGCTGCCAGAGCAGCTGGAGGCCTTAGCTTGTTCAACTGCTGAGAAAGCCATATGAACAACTCTTTCTGGAACAGGAGGGTGTATAGCAAGATGAAGACATATAGCTAACAGATAATGCACTTCTATGTAGCATTTCTTAGATTGCTTAGGGACATCAAGTTATAAGATAACAGAATGGAAAAGGAAAAATTAGTTATGTTCAGTTTTCCTCTTGGTTTTGTACCTGTAACCTGCCAGAGGCAATAGGAAACTGCCCCTCTCCTATTCAAACAAAAAACCTCAAACCCTGTTCAGCCTTGGGCCAGCAGAAGTTTATAGTCTGCACCAGATGACAGAACCATCTCAGAAATAGTGAGAAACACCACTAAATACCTTAACATGCTCTTCTGCAAGAACAGAAGCTTAAAGAGCAAGTAGTTAAAATAATACAGAAAACATTAAAGTAAAAAAACAGACTTTGTCAAAGCTACATAGCTGATGAACATAAATTCATATCCCCTGTACATCAGCCACATTAAGGGAGCTAGAACGTACCAGCATTTCTCACTAGTGCTTCTGGAGGCTCCAGGGGGATTTACTACTGCAGCTTACAGTCTCTTGGCAACTCATATTTCTCACAAACCAACCTACCTGCATTCCAAGGCCACTACATATACACAGCCTTGAAGAGGCTTCTTCAGTTCAGCACTCACTGGCCATCAAGTCTGGATGCCTTCCACAACTGCTTTCACAGTCCCAAAATATTGAAGAGAATTTCAAACTGCTGTTTCTAAAGCCCAGGATGACAAGAGCAGACTGCCTGAAGCCCACACTTTACATCACATGACTGAGCATGGTCAGCAAAACTGACATTTTCACCATGGGGAGATAATTCCACAAGATGAAAATGCTTTCATACTTAAACTGCTTTGTGGCATAATTATCTGACCCCAGCATAAGGCATCTTCTGATTTCAGCCTGAAAATAAGGGAAAAAACATCCTTCTGGGCATTAAAAGTGAACACCATACCACAGAAAAGATACAGCAGCTGCCAAAACACATGTTTTTCCACAGACACTGCTCAAGGAGATGCGCTAATGGATTTAGAAAGCATTTCAGTTAGCACTTAAGCGTATTTCAAGGTCATGATAAACAGCTCAAGAACCTATAGTAGCATTGCCACTAAAATTGCCCCATACTTTTCCAGTCCATGATCACTGGCTCTCACTTCAGCAGACCTCAGCTCTGCTTGCAGATGTATTCACAGAAGTCAAGTATGAAGTGAAGTCTATCCCTAAAGAGACAGGAACAAGCAGAACACAGGACAGATTTTTTTTCCCCATAGCATTCCAGCCTAAACGTTTGTGTAGCTCCAGCTGTAGAATGCTAACACCTCTTTCTGCTCTCCTCCCACCACTTTAACTATCACAGAAGAGACACACCTGAACATACACATGGTTGTACATAGTCAGCTTTCTAGTTTTTACACAAATAAGCTATCTACTTTTAAAATAATAAAAAGCTTCTTATATTTTCATAGTTCCTTAAGTTACATTTATATGTAGGTGACTGACTGTTCCATGCTACCACTACCTGCTCTTCAAAGCCAAAAAGAGACAATTCTTTATATCATTACATTATTCAAAAGATGTTTATGGCTAGTATAGGTGCACTGAATTACATGGTTCTTACAGGCCAGCACTTTGCTAGCATGATTTGCTAGCTATGTCACAGGTGATTGGGAAGATGCCCAGAGGCACGTAAAGATGACTGTATCTAGAATCATCACTTTACAGATCAGTGACAAGTATCCATCTTTTCCCTGTCTCCTCATGTATAAAACCTTGGACCCTAGAAAATTGTAGAATTCAGTTAACAAACCAAGTTGACTGGAAATGTTTTGATGATCAGAATTAATTTCCCCATAATTAGTATTACAAAAGCGTGCTCTTTCATGCATGCTTGTGATTAAGCAATTCAAGCAGCCCAGACAACCCTCACCCCAGCTTCCAAGAAAACCCTTCCACCTCAGCTTTTTCAACAATGAGCACATTAGTTCCTATCAAGAATTCAAAGTCACAGCCAGCTGCACAAGCCGGGTAGATACTGTGCCCACCACCACAAATCTCTACCCAGAGCTCCCTCTGAACTGATCATTTGCTGTGGGTACACACAATTTATATGCATCTCAATTGCAATTCCTAGCAGTAAGGTGAGGTGGTTATTTTTTAGCATTTATTCAGACACAGTCACGTCAATCTAGTCTAAAAATACCTGGTGCAACTTACTGGGCTCCCTGCTTGACATTTTTCTGCCTAACAGATGCTGGTAAGGAACTCTAGGTTAGGAACACGTTTCTGCCCGTGTGATTTAGACACTCAGGCTAAAAGTCTCCACATGCCACTAAGACACACTATTCTCCTGGTTGTCAATGACAACACCAAACAGAAGCTTCAACACTTCTGTATACACCTTGAGACAAAAACACTGCGGGTTTCTGTTCTCTTTTTTGTTCTGACACGAGTTTCTATTGCCTCCCACATGAGGTACATGGCGCTGTATATCGATATAAATACACATGCAACTATAGTGATGGCCAAAGCAAAGCTTTATCTTCTACCATCCTCATACCTGGGCAACACAGAAAACAGGAATGCCCAGAGAAGCTGCTTTCCTGCATCTCAAGAGCACTTGACACAATTGCTTATAGGCTGCCTGACATACAACTTGCCTGTAATTGTAAAAAGCTGTGGGCTAGCATTCATCACTCAAACTTTGCTCCTGTGCCAAACAGCTGCTATTCTCATGAGTTTAATCACACCCCACAAAATGCTACATCTCCAACCTACTACATCTTATATGCAGTTGAATTAATCTACTTTATAATTCTGCCTTTTTATTTGCATTGCTCTTCACCTCACGCTCCAAAGACTCATCTGAGCACTCAGCAGGCATGCAGCTGCTTTTCTCAAAGGATGTCTGCACTTTCCTCAAGGATGTCTGCAGCTTCTCCGACGCTGTACACGGCAGCACAGCTGCTTACACCTACGTACATTTTGTGAATAGTCCCGACGAAATCGGGTTTCTAATGAATTCCTGTGGCAAGCTGGGGACAAGACATTATTTAATGTTCACACCAGAGAAAGTGAAGGAATAGGAGGTAATTTTTCAGTGCAGTGAAAAAAAACCCCAGTAATTCTACCAGGTTTCTCTTTCAGGAAGTTACCCAAGAATGCGATTACAACCACTAAAGCCAAACCATGTTCAGAATCATATGCAGGCATGAGAAAGGGGGAGAGAAATAAATCACACTAAGGCCTCTAATCCGTACACACATATTCCCTAGTTTTATGGGAAATTTGACATTTTAACACTTATTTGTTAGTACAAGGGTTTCCCCAAAGGTATTTTTCTGTTAAGATCCTCGAACATTACACAGTACTGAGCCAAAATATCAAGCACATTTTCACCAAGAGACAAAGGACTCTGCATTTCCAAATCTTCCCAGCACCCGATGCACAAAGCAGCTCTCATACAATTCCAAGTGAGCCGAGGTCAGAGTTTTGGCTAACCAGTTCTCCGTTTCAGCACACACCGTGATGCCATCAGCCCCATCCAAACCCTGTTACAGTATCAGAGTATCACCCCTTCCTCCCCAAAAGCCAATGGCCGTAAACGTTTCTCCCCCGTTACTCTGTCATTCGAAACGCCAAGAAAATTTCAGTTACTGAATTATGACTTATTACTTTTATTTAGCACAACACCAGCACGCTCTCTGTCACAGCAGACAAGAGACACGAAGGAAAGCGAGCAACTTGCAGTTTCCGAGCTCTGCCAGCGCAGCCGGTGCTCGGGCAGTGCCGCCTCTCCCGCAGCCGGGAGCGCAGCGTCCCCCGCGCCGCAATGGCGATGCTGCTCCCCGCGGGCTGCTAGCCTCAAACCCCGCTTCTCCGGGGGAAAAGCCCTCCCTGCTCTCAAAGAGCCAGCACGCAGAAGAAACTCAGCGCGCCAGCAGCCCCGCTCCCGGCACAGCGCCCACGCAGCCGGTGCTGGGAAACTTGTGAGAGCAGGTAACAGGCAGCGCACACCGAGGAGCCGCCGGAGCGACCCCCGCGGCCTCCGGGCTGGCAGCGGCCAAACTTTGGGTGCCCCGGTTCTCCCGCCCGGAGTCCCGGTCTC